AGATTTCCCACAAATTATGTCAATAAATACAAATGCGGCAGAAGAGACACGACTCACGGAAAAAGAGACAGAGATAGAAGAGAGAAAAGAAAACCACGTGATTATCTGCTGACGAAAGCCTCCGACTTCAGGCTTGTCCCAAACTCTACCAATATACCAGATTTTTGCCAGGTCGACGATAGTATGACTTTCGATTTAGATGCGGTCAGTGCTGACATTTAATTGCATGCGAACTCTAATACAACCAAGGACGCAGGACTGATATAAAAACAGTATTTACTTTTGTTCAATTTACACGTGTGTTATTTTTCTTTCTCTGTAAATCATCGACCTGCTTGAACAAGACCAACACGAATATACCTGCGGCGATTCTATCTTGGCTGCCTTATGATCTAAAAATCACAACGTGGGATAGGATAGCTCTGGATTGAAGCGGTCACTTTAGCAACCAGCCGCGGTATTGGAAGTCTTGAACGACTAGCTAGGGTCTTGCACGATTACATCTATTGAACATTTAATGTGGCAAGTGTGTTGGAATTTTGGGGTACCCCGGTACTAGTGAGCGAGCCAAAATGATCTGACTCATTTTATAGTTCACCAATAGAAGGGTTAACCAATCAGAAGGCACAAAATATTCAATGCGACGTGTATAAAGGCGGCCATGTTTTTCCCGAATTCGCAATGTCAACCTTTGATAGCGAAGACTGAAGAATTACGGAACAGCTGCTGGTGGTGTTGGCGATATAGGCGAATTTAGTAGAGTATCTGACTCGTTAGTGTTAATCTTTAACTTTGTTTCATTAAACAGATTAGGTACTGCGCTGTATTCTATATTCATAGACTATGGCGAATATAGTCAACAGCAAGACGACCAGCAGGACAACATTTACAGTATATATTGAAGGCAACAGGTACAGGTGGAAATAGGTAATGAATTACATAAATTTGATTGATTTTGTACCTACGGGAAATGTTACACCTCAATATCTAAAACAATTTACAGTTATACTTCTACTAAACTTATTCTGTCAGTGATCTGTGTCATTGTAAATGTTGATCTGGAATTCTTGTTTTTTCAATGCCATTATTTTATAATATGATTATGTTTGAATTGTAACAGAGAAACTCTTTAAAACTATTCCCTTTAGTTGTGAAAGACCGTAGGCAGTGCATTCCAGTTGTAAGGACCCTACTTCTTGTACAATCCGAGAATGATAGTTGACATTTCTGGGACGTATAATAAAGACTGAAGGAATGTAGAATTGTAAACACACTGGATTTATCGAAGGCAAGAGCGACAAGGGGACACTGCCAAATATAACTTCTATGTTTGCCTAGAGCTAAAAAAAAAAAGATACGAAGAGGCACGGCATATAAGAAAGAATGAGACCTTTGTCAGTGAGCCATAACTTAATTATTGGTCCCCACTTTATCAGATTTTTAAGTGTTTTAAAAGGGGACAGAAAGTGCGACACTGAAATACGAAGATGCAATGGGAGAGACGAAGATGACCCTCAAATGGCAAGCAGATTATTTAGAAACATATAAATAACGTTAGAAAGAAAAAAAATAGTACTGAAGTCAAACGTAATATCAGTCCTTCTATATGTCAATGAATGCTAAACCAACTCTTCACAAAAAGAAAAAAATTAAAAGAATTAAAATATAGTTCTACAGAAGAATGCCGAGAGTATTGTGGACAGTTTAGTAACGACAAAATATTATAGAAAATAGAAACAGAAAGGAAACTTATACTTAACTTCAGTAAGTGAAAATTAAAATCTCTAGGACACATAATGAGGAAAACGGCTTGGAAAATCTGACACGAACAGGACAGATTGAATGGAAGAAGATCGGAAGAAAGCGATGCATAATATATTTAGTAAGTTTAAGCAAGGTTTACGAGAGATAGCAAAAAGACACAATTTAATAAGATCTAGAACGAACGGGAAATTGTTGAGAGCTCTATGTCTTGAAGAGACATGGTACATCGACGAAGGATATACCAGTAAGGTTTGCCTCAATTCTTGGTACAACGATATCTTCATGTTTTGATGAAAAGCTACAGCTTTTTTGCAGAGTTCAATATACAAGAGTCAGATAACCAAATATATTTTTTTTAAATTATTTTACCACCAGCAAGGCGATAAAAGCACTAAAACGTAACGTGTTACTAAAACTGACAGGATATGGGAAAAAGAAAAAAATACTATTAACGAGAGAGGATAATAAAAGATCAAGGATTAAGAAGACTGAAGCTAATTTACATTTTACATTTTTCAAGAATATAAATAACTGGAAATAAAGAAATCAGGAGATGCGAGAATCGCGAGAGTAGAAACTGTTAACATGGAACCTTTTTTTTTTTTAATGAACGAGTATCCTAACATATTGATGTACAAATTAGGATCGGCCATCTAAGTAAAATTAAGGTCTAATCTGTTGCTAATCTAAGTATTCACACCTTTTTGGAAAGACATGAAAAAATTGCTTACCTGATCTTCTGCTGATATGATTATGAAGAGAGAAAATGAGATAGTACCATATCAGAATTTAACTATCTAAATCTTACCTATAAGTAACGGAACTCTAGCAGAAGGTGTGCTTCACGTGTATATCGTTTTCATTTGAAATGGTTTTCATTCGTTTGTCTATATCTCTGAGATGAGACATTTTAATTATTTACATTATTTACCTTCTTCGGGCTGTTGTCCTCATCATTATTGCCATATCCACAATGTTTCGGCTGTTTTACACAAAAATCTCCTGAGGCGAACAAGTATAGAAACTAATACAATATAGGAACCAGTAAGACGGAGTGCTTCAGAAAAGCAGTAATAACAGCAAAATTGCAATATGAGCTCAGGTAAAAAAAAATTAAAAATATATGAACAAGTAAGATGGGGTGCTTCAGACAAGCAGTAATAACAACAAAATTGCAATATGAGCTCAGGTAAAATGAATACTGAGACATCAATTTTATATGACCCCAAAATTTATACACTGATGTCCTCAAGGACGCATGCTCTAAAGCGTTGTGATTTCAATACCTGGCTACTGCATTGGTTAACAAAAACTTAGAGAGTTGAGTTTAAGGGAGATCTACCCCGGTGGACGAAATAAAGGGTTCAGTTTGAAATTTCAGTCACCTGAAACGTCTTGAATAGGGCAATAAAGATGAGGACTGCAGTCTGAACAATTTAAACAGTTTTCAGTCGTGTCGGGATTTTGCCGATAATGAAACTATACATTGTTTCCGGAGACAATATTAATAAATTCAGAGCAAAAATAGATGAAAATATATTACTTCTAGTTGTAACAAATATATATTCAGTGTGCAAAGATCAATTTTAATGATTTTTACGGTTTATAGAAGATGTATGCGTTATTTAAAGACAAATCATATAAGTGTATAATTAACTGGGGATGCAAAGAAAAGATGACGTGCAGAAAACTGATTAAGAGCTGACCTCGATCTCTCATATTCACCATTACATTTTCATCAATTCTCGACTAAGTTAATTACTCTCGAGAATCATGTGTACGGGTATGCAGGTGTGCAGTGTATCTGTGTTTGAGAGCGAGTGAACGGCTCTGGAAATCTTCTTGGAAGCTGGACCTTACATTCTATTCTACATTGTCTGAGATACTACCCTCCCACCGCTCCGAAGTGTTTATATATCAACATCTGTTACACAGCTTTTTCACACGCTTTCAAAACATATGCAGCCGTGATCACACATGATTCTGCACTTGCTCGCTGGGTGGATACTACAGGTCAACCCTAAACCTGACACCTTTGAAGGCCTTGTGGTGATACTCAACGCAAATTCAGTTTGACATGACACTAAGACGCATGCATTTAATAAAATGGTTATCGTTGAATTTCATTATTAAAATTCTTTACAATTTTTTTTTATAGGAAAAGCAAAAATGCATTAGCAATGCGTTTAAATTATAAGAGACCGATTTTTTTTCTTTTTTATGGAATATGTAAAAGGTCGGAATGAAAAAGTGTAGAGCAGACTTGGGAAAAGCATGAATTCAACCCTTCTCCCATCTATATCTTACTTATTATAAAACGCAGATTGTGTGTGTGTGTGTGTGTGTGTGTGTCTGTACGTTTATATATTGGATCGGATTTCCTACATTTTTCAACCGATTTCAACAAAACTTCACAGGACTACGTAAAATTACCTTGCGGTGGTTCTGACAGCGCCCAACATTGGAAAAACACAATCGTTTTTGCACGAAATCAATTTGAAAACACGATTATGGCATTAATGAAAGGGGGACAACTCATATCGCGTTATACTTATTAATATCTTGTTATCGAGTTATACTTATAAAACCCAGGTTTGTTGGTTGGTTGTGTGTGTGTGTGTGTGTGTGTGTGTGTGTGTTCGTTTATATATGGGATCGGATTTCCTACATTTTTAAACCGATTTCAACAAAACTTCACTTTTTTTGGCAGGTAGTGTTTCTTATTGTCTTGCACACTTTTTTCTTTATTTTTACATTCAGAATGCTTTAAAAATTCCATTTACAAGACAATTGTTTATAATAAAATTCTATTCAATCGGTAGACTCATAACGATTGTAAACAATGCTTTTGTTTGAGTTTGGGTTTGACCAATTCGTAAAAAAAACAAAAACAAAACAAAAAAAATAAAACTAATTAAGACAAGCATGTCTGTCAACCTTAAACAATAATCTTTGTCAATTTTATTTTTCAGTCTTTATGATAGTCGATAATTGATCTATCTCTTACTGTTACATCCCCGGGCAACGCCGGGCTATATTGCTAGTCTTAAACAGAAGAATAAACCAGGGTCTTTAGCTGTGGTTTGTAAGCAGTCTAGGAGAAATTCAAAATCGGTTAGGAAACAGGCTAACAAAGAAATGGTTGCTATGGAATACAGCAGCGAAGCTTAGCGTTCTGAATGCCTTGGTCTCAGACTTCTCAGGCATTCTACAAGTATATATTTGCCAGTAGGCGTATGCTTCACTCTCTGTGTCTCTGTTATGCCTCTCTCTCTATCTCTCACTTAGGCGCTCTTCTCTGTCTCTCGTTCATGAGTCCTTCTCTCTCTCTCGTTTATGAGTCCTTCTCTGTCTCTCTCTTACAGGCCTCTCTCTGCTTCTATCTTATTCGTCACTCTCTATATCGCTCCTATGCGCCCTTTCTGGTTTCTCTCATGTGTCCCTCGCCGTCACTCATTTAGGCGTCCCTGTTTGTCTCTCCTTTATACGTCACTCTCTATATGCGTCCCTCTATTTCTCTCTTGAAACCTCCCTCTCTGTCTCTCTCTTATGCCTCCCTCTCTGTCTCTCTCTTATATGTTCATCTCTGTGTCTTTCTAATGCGTTACTTTCTATATCGCTCTGATGCTTCCTTCTCTGCCACACTTTTATATCCCTCTCTCCCTTATGCATCCCTCTCTATCCATCTCATATACATCCCTCTCTGTTTCTTTCTTATCCGTCACTCTCTATATCGCTCCATCACCATACCGCGTCCATCTCTGACTTTCTTTTATTGGCCCATCCCTGTTTCTTATACGTCTCTGCTTCTTTCTTTTTAAGTTTCTCTAACTGTTTTGGCCAAGGTCAATGTAGCCAGGAAAAATGCATCGATAAATACGATGAGTCGTGGACAAATATTTTTGAGTAATTCCAAAATTAAAGTCAAACATATTTCTAATTGCAACAAATGGAACTTAAGCAGGAAGCTCAATGATAAAAATCATTTTAATAATGTAATCTCTTAGAGAAGGGGATTCAGAAAATAAATAAATAAAAAGAAGGACACAAAAATAAATATTTATGTGGTTTATCTTAATTTTATACTGTTAATCATATTCTAATTGTCTCAACAGAGAAATTCAGGTTTTCCAAATTTCAAAGTAGTGGAATCAGTTTAACTAACCTAGTTTTTAAAGCAATATTTGCATAACGGTTATTGGCACTTGAATCGGTTAATCGAGTTCAAAATTCTAGCCTAATCTTCTGTGACGATCTTTTGTTCTAATGACTTTGGAAAGGCATGAATATGAACGTCTGTTATTCTTTCTTCTGATGATAATGCTATAAAGAGGAAAGAAAATATAATCGAATAACAGAATTTTTAGGATCCAAATTTTGCGGATGAGAGATGGAACTACAGCAAAAGAAAAGTGTGATTTAAGTGACTATCTTTCAGTGTCTACGCATGAATCTTAATTCCTCGAAAAATTGTTATGATAAAAAGATATTATTAATTTCATCTTAACTGTTGAACTCTAATTGTTAGGTCAGCTTGGTTTCAACCTAATTGGTCAAACGCCAATTGTTCCGTTAATGAATACTGAATATCTATTCGAGGGAAACAGTCATTTTCATCAGTACCATTATCATATCATTAGAATAGTACTTATAAAACAAAAGACAGAGGGTGGATAACAGAACATAATTTTAATTTTATGTTTCTTAGCGGCGTATAATAAACATGTTATGACTCAAAATTATAAAACTGATCTAAAGTAGCAAAACTTATCAAATGGTTTCAAGCAATCCTGGAACTTCCAACCGTAACCATCTAATTCCATAACCTAAAAGCAATGGAAGTCTTTCTCAATACGCAATCTTGCTGTCAGCTTTGGTTACACAAAATTAGTTTGAAAGACTGCCTGGTAGGCTTTAGAATAGTGCTGAAAAATGTTTAATCTCCAAAACAGACAAGCCTCAGGTTTCTTGAAAAACAATTTCTGCAAATTCTGGCTGCCGGTTCAGTTATTCGCGCAGCATGTCGAATAGAGTTCGGGGCATTTTCTTTAAATCTTCCAGCGGAAAGACTATATCCGTTCCATTTGCAATCCAACTCTCTAACGTAAGATTTTGGATCGGCTTTTTACAAACTTTCCACAAGTGATTATTCTGTCTCATGCATTTCCCGATTATAATGACGATTGTGAACGAAGTTATTAATTATGAAATGCATTCTGACGGCACAATGACGTTTTTAAATGATATTGTAGAACAATGTCAGTATTTTCACTGGCTTACCTTAATTCGATTTAAAGTTGATTATAGATTCCTACGAGCTATTAACAATATGAATAGCGGTATCTTGTAGTTTCGTCATTTAAACCCTGCCGTTTGGCACTGTCTTAAATGGTCGCAGGTCATTTTAAACTATGGTAAATTTCTGATGATTTCAAGCTCATAAGTGGATGTTACTCTTCACTTTTTCTACAGGTTATCATGAAAATATTTACAGAATAATTTTATGGAAGGTTTGTTAATAGGTTTGGCCAGAAAGTCCTGACTAACTTAACAAGTAAACAGAAAATCATGATCTCTGTCTGGTAAAATGTCTAAAGAGCATTTTAAGCTTGTTCCACACGGTCGCTCTATCAAGGCTAAACTGTATTGCCAAAAGGTAGACCGCGTGCATAACAACCTAAAGTAGGTGTATCATGCTTTGCTCAATTGAGGTCTGGTTTTGTTTCAGGTACGCAATACGAGGCTACACACTACCAGGTTGCCTAAGGCGAAGTTCAAACAGATGGACGGTGTTAAGATTCTACAACATCTACCATTCCGTCTCGATGTTGATTCGTGTCACTATGGCCTACTCCGCTCAATGGCACGCTTTCTCCTCGACTAGAGATTAGACACTTTTGATGAAGTGAAAGAAGCTTGCGGATTTTTGCTTCTAAGCTAGCTGACTTGTGTCTGGGAGTGATTCGGATGCTGGTTTATCACAGGCAAACTATCGTCTATAATGACGGCCTTTATCTTGAAATATACATTTAGGTATTACTCCATAGATTTTAGTTGCTTTCTTTCCGCTTCCTAAGAGAGTCACGACTTTCTGGTCTTGCTAATATTTGGTAAAGTTTATAAAGTATTCTTGTCCGCTATTTATTCTAGTAATAATATTTGTATCAAACATGTCTTAACCCTTTGAGCCATGCGTTCCCGAACAGTGTCACTCTTCTGCATGGGCCACTGAGTCAAAATTAGCAAACAATTGGTATGTAACGTTTCACGATAGATTTAAAAATAGTTACATGTGTATACCTACTGTTCAACCGGTAGTTGGGTGTTAATTCATTTTTCTCTACCACTGTTCAACTGGTGGCTTGGCATTACGTCATTTTTCTCTACCACCAGCAAAGCACTAGTCAGGGTTCACAGGGTTAAACATGACACATCGAATTGTCTCTGGTATGCAATGTTTCCCCTCTATGTTCATGTATACTATAGTGATTTTCTAAGCGCAGCTTAGATGTGACACAAGGCTGAAATTATGGCACATCCATAGAAGATCGAAATCACTATTCGATCGTACTTTTAATTGCTATACAACCATGCTAAACATTACTGCAAGTCGAACTGTACCGTCATCTATGCTATGTCTATTTTACGGTTATACTGAAGACCGCGTAAGTATTGTTTACCTACAAAGAGTTTTCTAATGGCTGACTCTCTATTTTGACGGTGATAGAAAAGGTAACACCGAAAGCCGAAGGCGCATTGGGGATAGCTAATTATGAATTCCAAGAGATAAGCAGAATATTAAGAAAGAGGGAAATTCTTTAGAAACAAATTTAATATCCTGAACTGTTACGTGATAAAAGCCCCCGTATATGTCAATAAATGTTGGATAGTTCCCTACAGAGATGAAGAAGAGACTTGAAGAAATTTGGTTTTAAAGAAGGAAGCTGAGATAAAATTGAACTGAACATGTGAGAGAAGTAAGTTTGCGATAAAATGGAAACAAAATGAAAACTTATAATTAACACCATGAAAAGACAATTGAAATATCTAGGGAATATAACGAGGAAAGATGTTTTGGGAAATTTGATACCCAAAGGACAGATTGAATGCAAGGCAGATAGAGGAAAACAACCCATAAACTACTTAGTGAGTTGGAGTAAACGGATGACAGATCAAGTTTTAGGAAAAACAAAAAAAAAAAAAAAATTGCCGAAGGTCCTGTCTGTATTTCTGAGATGAGGTATTACGTACACTATTTACATTATTCGCACTATTGTCCTCGTCTTTGTCGCCATATTTATCACAAAGTTTCGGCCGTTGCAAGCTCCGGCCTTCTTTAGGTGATTGGAATGCCGAAATGTATCCTTTATTCCGCTCAGTGGGGTAGACTGTTCTAGTTCCACCTGCCATGTCTAATGGATGTCAGTCATCATTTATCTCTTGTTAATTCCCCCCTCCAAGTTCTCCACCGCATTAACCAGGTATTGAACTCACACTCTTTGGGTCCTGTCACTGGATCTAACTAACCCCTTTTCCACTGTGCCTTGAGGACATGGCACGTGGAACCAGAACAGTCTACACCAGTGCGCGAAATAAAGGCTTCAGTTCGTCATTCCAACAAACTGAAGAATGCCGGAGCGTACAACGGCCGAAACCTTGTGATAAATATGACGACAAAGATGATGCTAAAGTTTATTAATAGCTACGAAGGACAGGAAATCGTGAAGAGACATGATCGCCTCGGTCTTTAATTGAAGACGACGCATAGAAGAAGATATAATTTTTGTGTTGCTTTGAGTAGCGTGATGTTTTTTTTGAGAAGTAATAAAAAAACAGGATATCTAAAAGAAGACTATCCTTGATAATTTTTGTGAAAGCTTTCCGCTTCCGTTAGGCTCATGTTGGAATAAAGTATCGGTAGTCGAAAGATGACTATACCAGTGAGAGTGTGATGCTTCATGATTTAGTCAATGTGAATTCCTTTTATTTGTAGATGAAATTTACGATTCAAGCATACTGTAAATCTGATACATATATTATAAACCCCGATTTAAGCAGTGAATACATCTTTATAACCTTTAGCATAAGAAAATCACCTGCTATTATTCTATATATTCATGAGAGCAGTTCTGAAGATCACCTCGTCTAAACGAATTTCTGCGCACTACTCGATTGTCATTTAGGTCTCATCCTTTTACCGGTGTAATTGAAAAATTTAACCGTAAGTTCTATTCTACCGTTTCCTTCTCTCGAAAGCAGAAATATATTTTATGAATATGTAGGAATATTTCTCATTATTTTGCCAATGAATTTTTTTCATTTTTTTTAAAGACAAGAGTGACATTTTTCTGATACAAGAACTAATATTGAACACGTAGCTTAGGAGAATAAAGATACATTCATACATTTCCAAAGTTATTTGTGCGTACGTGAATATAAGGAACCCAACTGGAATTGGAACTCCGTTATGCATCATGAATATGTATGAATCCTTTATTAACTTGCAGACACGTTCCATTCCCTGTAACCTTTAAATCAAAATGATTTTTTTTTTATTTTCTATTTTCCGTTTGTATTTCTATGAATATTTATTTTTATTGTTTCTTCGCAAAAGAATTGAAAGTAATTTTCTCCCTTGTGATGCCACGTAAAATTTATCAACCATGTCTATAGTTAAGAAGCGTAAACTAAAAGTCATATTGGCTACAATTTTCACTGGAGAGGAACCAATTATCCATCGAATTCAACACAGCAAAAGTTTTGCCCTTTCGATTTAACAAGCATCAGTTTCTATTGCACTTAATCTTTGCCACGTTTATCA